GGAGGTGGCGAGGGCGGGCCGCGGGGGATCTTCTTGTGCTTGAACTTGGGCGGCTCCATGGGATCCTGCTGTCTCTCGACGATTTTCATGATCCGATCGTTCTTCCGCGTAGTATCTCCCATCTGGTTGGCAGGCGTGTACCGGACAAACGTAGGCTCTGCCCTCCGACCACCCTTGACGTTCTTCGGCTTCTGCGCCGCCACAGCACCCTCGACCAGGCTCGCCAGCGCATTCTTGGTCTTCTCCATCTGCGCCTCGACCTCTTCCTCCGATGGACGGTCTAGCGAGATTTCTCCCATATCCACCCGCTGTCGGAGCGGAATCAGATCCTTGAAGGAAGCATGGACGATGCGGTTCTCGCTGTGACCCCGGCGGGCGATCGCGTCGTACTTGACTTTGCCCTCCGCGTCAACCTGCACCGCGAGCGCATTCGATGTCGACGCAGTACCCTTGCGGCCCATGTCGAGAGGATACTGCGCGACCAGGATCTCGGGGAACGCGCCACCGTCGCCGAAATCCTCAGGTGCTCGAGGTCGCCATCCTTCACGGTTGCCATATGGGGGAGGACCGGTTCTCTATACATCGTAAACCAAGATAGTCAGCACAAAAGTAAAATGAAACGTATTTCTGAAGCGTAGAGACGGATTAACCCACCCTCAAAACAATCTGACTTTGATCAATCTGGTCGGCGCCCACGATCCGCGGACCACGGGGCTGGGCATGTTGAGGCACCTCCTCATCCTCGCCGGTATATTTCGGCTTTGGTAAAGACTTAAAAAGTCCCTCTGCAACGGATGTCATTGTCGAAAGGGGGACACGGTGGAAAGGGTGAATGACGTTGATGGTCAAACTTTTGGATGGCGATGGTTGCTTTTCGTTTGGCGGCCAACAGGCGGAAGTGCGTGAGTGGTTCGTGTGGCTTGCCGTAGTAGCTGTCCTACATAGGAGTTTTCTCCTAAGTAGAGCCCAGGATAATCGAGAAAGGCATGACTGATAGCCAGAAGTTATAGGAATACTTATTTGATTATGCACTTGTATTCTTGTTGACAATTTCTATAACTATGTAATCGTGATATTGTACAATGTATCACACCAACAACACCAAGAACAAAGTGACTAGGCTCACAATCCCGTCCAAATAGGGATAGTGACATGTCTTATGGTACTCACTAAATGATACGGCCATATCGAAAAAGCCAAGTCTTGCGGCCTTGAGGGTGACGATGGTTTGAGCGGGGTAAGGGTGAAAAGAGGGGAGAAGAGGCGATGATTATAGGAGTAGAGACATTATAGAACAGAAAGTTGAGGGATCAAGCGAAATCATCAGATCAAGCAGATCAGACCTCGTTCAACCAACTAGATGTGTGCGCATAGGACATGCAATGCCCTCCGAATCGTTTGCTTCCACGAAATGCTCTTTTCCGCGATACGTATACCAAATCTTCAGCTTCTTCGGCAGAAGAGGCGCGGGATCGTAGAAGCCGAGAATTTGGAACTAATGAACGGTTAGTGAAGTCCATAGGAAAGTCACCGGATGATACTGACCTTGACTGTGTCCTTTGTTATCACCAGCTGGCCGTGGTCCACCAACGCAGCGACAGGAACCGTCACATCAGCGACCTCTAAATCTTTAGCGGCGTCAGCGCTGGGAGTTGTCCACCTCTTCGGCGACGGGTAATGGCCATATTCAGCTTTGGTGATGACCAGGCCACCTTGCTCTTCCTCCCTCGCTTGCCGACGGTGTACATGTTCGGCCATAAGTTCGATTGCCTGTTGGCTTTCTGCTTTGTTCTTCGGAATCAACCTCTTCAGCTGCCTATGCCGCCGAGCAATGGCGCGGCGGCGCTGCCTCCGTTCTCTCGGGCGGACGTATCCAAATTCTAGCGCGCAGTAAACCGCCCAGGGCAGGATAACTGCAAGCGCGGCGGCATCTGCATTAACAACATCCATGGGGCAGACCGCAACGGGGAGGGAGATCTTCTGCCCGAGTCTGCTCCAGGAGGCTGTCATGACGAGGCCACGGCCTCCTTGGACACCGACTCCGAACCCCACGCGGGTGAACCTGCCAACCTGGCGCGTGCCGGAGATGTTCCAGGCTAGGGACATGTCCATATTCACCGAGCTCCGGACTTCAACGCGCACAGACCGAGGCTCGCTCGCGGGCGGCAAGGAATAATGGCCCTCGGAGCTCCACTCGGAGCGAGCAAGCTCGCTGGCTGCCTTGCCATTGAAGATATTCCGAGCATAGGTGAAGGACAGTCCTGCTTCCTGAGGTGATGCAGTGACCACTGCCTGCCAAGACTCGGCAGCATTTGCCTCGCTGCGCGCCTTCCTGCGGATCTGTCTAAGTTCAGCATCCTCTTCATCATCATCCTCCTCCGCCGCCTGGTCCTCGTCGTCACCCAGCACAACTGTATTCCTGTTTTGTTTGGGAACGGACAAGAATCCCAGCTGGAATTGACTCGGCTGAGCAAAAGCAGTCATTGATATGGCCGACTCCGTATCGAGCCCAAGGTTGGCAATGGGACTGAATAAGACCTGCAACACACTTGGCCAGGAGATGGTACCACTGGACCAAGAGCAGAAGGCGTGCTTCCTCTCTCCAATCTCCTTTGTCACCTGCATTGCAAGTATAGGTGGCGTTTTCAGGATGGAGTTGGCGATAATGGCGCTTGTGTTGACCTGGAATGGTTTCGTCCCTGGAATCGGCTGAACTGCTGTGGCAATGGTTCCTTGCAACAGCGGAGTCGGCAGGAGTGCCGCGTTCAACGCAAAGGCCGAGTCTCGTAGAAACGCAAAAGGACGCTTGGCCAGAATCCCTTTCATGCTCGCGACATCTCCAAAGCGTTGGCTTATGCCGGCGCCCAGACTGATGTCTCTTCCTGCAATGAACAGGGGTAGAGGAACCTGCTGAACAGTTAGAGAACAGTCCAGCATGATTGCGAAAGACAGTACATCTCTGAACATACCGCTCGCGTCATCATCTCCCCATCTTCAAACTGAAATTGCATCTTACGAAAAGAGCGCCGGAGATTGCCAGAGATACCTGCATTGAACATAATCTCAGGCCCTTGAGCCTCCTGATATGAATTGACTTTCTGCTGAGTCGATCTGCCATCAGGCGCTTCGTCCTCATCCTCCTCCTCAGCCTCTTCTTTTCCGAAGAGAACCTCCGGCGAGGGAAGCGGCGCTTTGAACGAGTATCTGATAGCGTAGGAAGACAAACTGGGAGAGGGAATATGGATATACACCTCCCCGGCATCCTCGTCTACCTCAATCATGTTGGACGCATCGACCCCGAGAGTCAGCGAGCCCTGTTACCGTTCCACGGCATAGTCAGTACGACATCATGCAACAAACTAAGCAAGACAGCAAAGGGGAAAGAACCCACCCTACTCTGGACCAAACTATTCAGCACCTTCCTCTCCCGTCTCTTCATTGTCTCCAAAAACCACCCCCGAAACTCCTCCGGCGTCTGGGCCCTCACACCAATCTGACTCTCCGCCTCCCCACCCCTTCCCATCGCCCCTCCAGCTCCCCACTCCCTCCGCACCCCCTCCGCCCCAAGGAGATCATAAACAACCCTCTTCTTCGGGTCTAGCAGCGTCTCATACGCCTCCTGGATCCGCGCAAAGTGTCGCTCCGCAGCCTCCCGCAGCTCCGCAGGCTGCTTATCCGGGTGGAAGCTGAGCGTGAGATTGCGGTACGCGGAGCGGATCTCCGCATCGCTAGGGGCGGGAGTCCGGCGGAGGCCTAGCAAGGCGTAGTAGTCCTCTTCTTCGGCGGGGTAGGACATGATCATGCTGTAGTCTGCGTCTTCATTCAAGTCATCATTATTTCCGGAGGCGTATCTCGGCCGCCTGGGGTGTATATCATCGGTGTCCGCTCCCCCTCCTCCTAACCAGTCCTCGCTGCCGGAGGACATCGTAGCTGACGAAGCGCAGCGCAGCGCACGCCAGAACGTCTGACCGGATCTTGGATACGTGGGTAAGAATCGCGTGCACAGATTCCACTAGCGCGTCCAGCACCGGTAGTCCATTTTCTTATCTCGTGGAGAAACCGCAATTGTACTGCGTGACGCCTTGTGTCCGTTTTCCATTTATTTCTTTGCTTCGATGACGTCGGGAGAAAAACAGTGCACGGCGTTCCGGGATGCCGTTGCTCCGTCTCCGCTTTTGTTTTCGTCCTCATTCCTCCCTTCATCTTCATTATTTCATTCGTCCTATGTGGTATCATCAAATAAGATGCAACTCGTGTAAAGCTCATGTTCACGGAATGTAGCGGTGACATTTTCACATTTGGATTATCTCGTTAATATGAGCGTCTCGACATAGAGCTGAAGTCGAAGGTGGACTGATAAGTGGATGGGCCTGAAATCCGAATGGATACTGGCTGAAATCGACATTTGTGGCAAAAGGCAAGCTTGAGTGGTAGAACTGGACGTAGTTGATCTATTACATCTTCATATAGGGGTTCAAAACACGCCATGCGACCGCCATAATCAATGGTGCTTCTGGAAAAATGGATAGCTCAACTTTTGACGCCGACGGAGTAAAACTTGGCTGCAGTTCCCATTACTGTATTGAGTAAGGATCTCAGAACAAAAGGTGCGATCATCAGATCTACGAATCATCGAATACGGATATCCTAGGCAGAAATCGAGGTTAAGGCAAACTAGTGCTACTATCCTCCATGTCTTTGAATCAAGCGTTAGGTAGACATCAGATTCATCAATAGTATACATCATCAATGCGCACAGCACAACTACCCCAAGCCCTAGACATCGCTTAAAAATCGCTCAAACATGAATTTGGTACGCCTTTTGAAGCTGCCAAGATATAGGCCATCGAAATCGTCCACCAGATGGATATGTAATTTATAAATGGAGTCGTGTTCACCCGAGTATTGGTGACGAGAAAGAAAAAAGTCGTGTCTTTTAATACAAGGCGTAACAGTGCAAGGTGCATGGACGACGAGAAAGCAGAGTACAATGACCTCTTTCAGTCCGTTTCTCTGATCCAGAGTATATTGGATTCTGTCAATGAAGCGTCTTCCGGCCCCAAGGCGCTGAATAGTCTGTCATGGGGAAGAGCACCATAGAACAGATCATCGGTGATCGGGGACTGCTGCTTCTGGGTCCGGCTGTCCAAGGAATGACCCTTTGCAGCAAACACCATCTTCTGGTCCAGCTTGGTCGGGTCATGGAGGATTTCCATCAATGACTCCAGTCGAGCCTCGATAAGAGACACTAATGGTAGCGAACTCTCCCAAAAACGACCCAGCTCCTTGACGGCCTCAAGGCCACCTCTGATGAGCTTGACGCACTCAGGCATATCAGCTACCAGCCCAGCTGCACTAAGGATGTCGACTGCAGATAGGATCACATAACCTAGGAAAGGGTTAAGAATAGTCGCTTGCGAGGGTGCGGAGTCGATGGCCATTCGCGATGCGTCGTATTCACCCGTGTAATGTGCCAAAGCCAGAGCAATCCGCAGGGTCTCTGCCGCATGTGTCCTGGCCATGCGAACCTGCCTGCTCACAAACTCTGCGCGATAGTCGTGGCCAGGCGCATGCCTATTCAATTTCATCATTGTTGCATGATATAACAGATGTATCGAGAAAAACGGATCGGGATTCCTTGCCCGAAAGCTTCGCTCCATATTCAGGGTGCTGAATCTCAAATGTTCCGGCAGCCTGGCAACCCAAGCGTCTGCACGCTGGCAGATTGTGGTATAGAATTCCTCAAAAGGTGTAGTGGATGACTCCATCGGAACCAGTGATAAACGGAAGACGTGATCCGTTACCTCTCCCCAAAGAGATACCATTTCTATCAAGAGCGCCATGGCACTCAATTCCGAGAGCTCATCGTCGGTTGATGCGGGCGGCTGGTTGAGGAAGCTTTGAAAGTATGGTACAGTCGTATATTGCTGAGCCTCGAAGACTTCTTCGCGACAAGGCATTCTAAGATAAGCCGTCTGTGAGGGAATGAATGCTGAGGTTGACGAATAAAAACATGACAGGCGCTAGACAGGAAGACAAAAAATGGTTAGCTGGCGGTCAATGATCGAACTGCGGTGAATCTCAGGGGAATAGCACTCACATCCATCAAGAAAGCGACCCAGAATGTCCTACGACGGCATTCTATCAGGGCCTGGGGATGCAATCCATACTCGCAAACCCGATCGCGATCCACAATAACCCCTCCCAACTCAACGTTATACCGCAATCCACACACAGTTCGAACTGCAGCGCCAACTGCATCCCAGGACTTCTCTAGAGCACCGATGGCGTAATACCAAAGGCTCATGATAATCCTGGATTGTGCGAGCTGCAAAGAGAGGCTATGACGACTATGCTCCACGGCGTAGCGGGCCGTGCGTGAGGCCCTTTTCATGGCCGCAAGCCTGTCAGGCCGATCCGAGAAAATCGCTCCCAATGTCATCATTGAGTAAAGAAGCATTTTGTCCTCCAGCGACTTCGTATGACACGACCTTAACCACAAGAGGAAGCGCCTTCTGGGGAAGATATAATATAAGCTATCGTTCACATAAGTGAAATAGTTCTCGACGTAGTGAGTTGTGAGTTCCGCATCATTTTCGAAAGGATCGGTGTTCCACTCGTGCGCAAGGGGATCATGAGGGTCCAGATCTCTCATTTCCATCAGGATTTCAGTGTAATCAGGCGTAGCACGGGCTGAAATGCCTTCCACAGACCGTCGGTTCAGATCCTCAGCGCCAGTAGATGGTCTGCCGAGGCTCTGTCGTCTCGATCTGTAATGTGAATCCGAGTCCAAGATAGGTTCGTGGGCACTGTTGATGGCAGGGGGTGTAAGCATGGAGGCGTCAGACATTGGTGACTGTGAATTGGTGCCAGGTAGTGATGCAGAGCTTTCAGAAGCCCTTACGGCGGAGTAGATCGAGTTGGCAGAGCTAGAAGGGTGATGACCGACAAAGGAGGAGGAGGAGGAGTCTCTCGTGTCGTATCTGTTGCCATGCGTGTTGGCTTTCGCTGCTGCGCGGTGGCCTCGTGGTCTGTAGGGCCATTTTATCAGCGTCGAGATTCTCTTTGGGCAAACGAAAATACCTTGCGTCAGTCACTTACGCGCTCTCGAACCGGCACTCCCTTCCCGACTTCTGACATTGGTCGCACTTTGGCAGGTTAGGTTGGCACTTGATCTTCTTCTCCCGGCAGGTAAGGCAGGCTTGTGCTAATCTCTTTCGGGGCTTTCCAGCCTTAGTTACGCCCCAATTTGCATTCACAGGCACACCGTCAATGGTCTTGGGACAATGGGATCCATCAGCGTAGATGTAACACCAGCCTTCACCCTCTATATACCGCTCGTCGACCACGTGAGGACGGACTTGGGCCGTCTGTGGTTGATTTGCTGCCGCGCTTCCAATCTCGTGAGTCACGGGTAATGAATTCTCTTCCCTTATTTCTTTATCATGGCTCACACGACCCTGGGGTGCAAAGGGAGAGTGGTGCGCTTGTTGTTGTGGAACATCTGTACGAATGCCCGCATGTATACGAGCCTCATTTCCGGCTGTGTAGATGGACATCTGTGAGAGAGAAGGCAAATTCCCGGCCGTCGGCCGCGAGAAGCGGTCTGCGCGGGCCTCTGGTCTTCCTTGAGGTGTTCGTGGAACAAGACCAGTATCATGATGGCTCGCCGTATGGGGACTCTGACTGGGCTTGGGGCTTTCGCCCGTAGGATGGTAAAAACTGAACATCCGTGAGCGATGGGGTGACACCGATTGGCTGGAACGAGAGGATGGGGTCAACAGCTCGCTGACGGAAGGAAGCTGTTCATTCATGACTGGCTGATGTCCTTGAGCGTTTGAGCCGAGTCGGGAGTCTCCTTTCCCTTCCTGATTTCGCCGGGAAAGAAAGGGGTCTGTTCCAAACTGCAGAGACTCCATTGTGCGCGGTGGGGGAAGTTGGTAGGGATGGTTTCCAGATACTGGCTCGTTAGCTGAACGCTCTGGTTCCCTTTCCGGAGAGTTTCGGTCGGTAACAGGTAACATACGCCCGAAAGGTCCCACATAATAGGTCGACATGACGTTCATGAATGGAAAGCTGATCTCGAAGCAATCTAATGTAGAACGCCAGATAACATCAAGTCTTCCAGTGTCGATTTTGCGAGGATCTTGACGGCGGGGGGGAGGTAAGGAGAGAGGGCCGGCGGGCTGCGAGATTCGATCTTGGCTGTCCTGAAAGGAAGGATTCTCGAGAGTTATGAAGCAAGCGAGCGACAAGGGAACGGGTCTTGAATGAACGAAAGAAGGACGACGATAATGTTGGCTCTGGATACGGTCTCCTTCCCCCGGCTGCTCGTCTTGATATCTGATGAACAAGTATTTGTGTAATGGGCACAAGCTCTTTTCGAAAAATAACCCCCGCACAGCTTCTATGGCTTTGTCTTATCCTAGGAGACACAGTATCCTCTCAATCATCAACTGAACCAGATCCTCTGACTGCGAAGAGAAGCTTGCACGGAGCAATTTAATAACTCCTCAGAGTAAGGCAATGTCGACGATGCGGTTATATTATCCAACCGAGTATGCGCCACGAGAAGTCAAAGTAGAAAACCCACATGCAGGCGTTGGTAGGTGGGACAGGAAGAAGCACGAGGTGACGGATGCATCTAGATAGCCATGATCATTGTGCAAACGGACCTGAAACTTTCCTGGCGAAACGACTCCTCCATAGCAGGGTTGCTGCAGAATCTCCGTGGATCGTCCGGAACTTTGAGCAACAGTGCCGCAGAGGATGATATCGGATTGTGGGTCAGAATTACTTGCTCCAAGTGCATTCAAACCATACCCCAACCACTCTCTCAAAGCAGTGGTCAGGCCAGGGGACCGGGAGGATCGTCTTGGTAAATGGTATTAGGGTAGTATGGCTGTATGAAAGAAGCGTTGCCCAGCTGCACCTGGTGACAGGGGTTATAAAAAGAACAAAACACAACAGGAGGAGGAGAAAGAATAATGATTAGAGGAAGGAAAAGTCGTTTGTCGGTAGACTCCGTGTCCAAGCAGGACAGTGAGCGAGGAGCAATAATCGCAGCCGGAATGACCAGAGTGTCGGGATTTCTCTTGTGTTTCTTCTTAATTATCTTCTTTCTCTCTTTGCTCTATTTCCCGTTAGACTCTCCACTGTTTTCTTCCTTTCTTTTTTTTTATTTTTCTCTTTTCTTTACAAGTCTGCCCGGAGAGCCAAAGCCGTTGAGTCTTGGGAGCCGCTCATACGCACCCTCAATGACTAGGCTTCCTTGGGGTTGGTGAGGGAGATAACTACCACTGAAAGGAGTTAAAGAACCCTAAGTAGCAAGAAATAGCGTCTCCGCGGTAGATCTTGACGGGATGAGTCAGACGATGATTTGCTACAGGGAGTCCAGACGTAGAGAGTTGTAGTAGTGGCTCCGGGAAGGCTTTCTGTTGGTGCTGGAAAGGTGCACTGGTACAGGGTCCCCTGTAGAAGACCCAGGGTAGGGGAGCGGAGTAGACAAGCGAACGGAGGCGGAGGGGTGTCTTGAAAGAAAATGTCAACGAGGAAGAGCAGGGAAGAATTGCGCAATGAAAAAAACGAGTAGTGGAAATAGGAAAAAAAGAAAAAAGAAAAAGGTATTCCAGACAGTAGTTAGATAGACAAGAAATGGAAGGGGAAAGATAGGTGTCAGAGATGTGGTCGGAAAAGAAAGTGAGTGGAACGGGTACACTGTTCAGGCGGAGGGGGGGGAGCAACAGTCGGTTATTGTGGTACATCATTTCAGGTACAGTACAGAGTGATGAGGGATGTATAGCTCTTGTCTTTGTTAGTGCTAGGCCAGTCCAACTAATAGTGATAATAATAAATAATATTCTAGTTATCATTTCTGTTAGTCAAGGTATTCTCGTTGGTTGACGCAAATGCCTCCATACTTGAGAGATCACCCGAGACTTGTAAATATCTGGTCCTTGAAGGACAATCAGCTTGATGTTCGACTATTTCCCATCCCGAATATCGTCCCAGTGTTTGAATTCCAGGGGGAACAAGGTGGTGTTGGCAGATCAGACTGATGCTCAAAGATCCGCAGGGGTTCTCAAACACGTCGACAGGCTAGAGAGCAGTCGAGTTGAGATAAGACGTGTACTTGATTTGCAGATCTTGATCATGCAATTCACTGCGGAGTAACTCTCTATACCTAGTATTCCCATGACATGAATGTCTACGTAAGATGATCGTGTTCCTGTACCTTGAATATGGTAACCGTACGCGTGCCTACATCATTTATTGGGATACACTCCTTCTTGTTAGGTAGGTATCGAAGATTACAACTGCAGTCTATATCCTTCCATTTACAACATAACAGGATGAGAAGAGAGCCACCAAATGATCGCGTAATGTCAATTACTCTGCCCATTCCTTCAACAACCCAAGTAAGCAACATCTCCGATCCAGCATTTGCCTTCCGCAGAACGGAGTATCTAGAGTAGATACCTAATGAGCATCCTCATCCCCCAGGTGGAACTTAGTTACGAGCCTGTTCCTTGGGAACGGCAATTGTAAATAACTTTGTTCTTACTGCCGACTTGTCTTTACCATGCCGGACTGTCTTTTGGCTCAGGGCACGGCAGTTCAACTGTTCCTCTTCATTTGCAACTTACGATCCAAGCATCTTTCCACCGTCGACTCCATAGCTGTAACCTTGTGCGCCTATTACCTACGGAAGATGCAGCCCGTGGTAAGTGCCGAAGTGTGTAAGAGGATAGTTTCACCATGACATGGTCTGAGTGAGTGTTGATCCAATTTCACGCCACTGACTATGGAGGGAGGATCCATTATTTTCCACTGTATCGGCCGGACAGTGGCTTTCAGGTTTAATTGTTTGCTTTTGGATGGGGGGAAGAAATTCTGAACGTCGATGGAGCCGATGGGGAAGATCGAATCCTGAATCCATCGAGAACAGGAAGTGGTGCTCCGTAGCTCCTCGGCCAAATCAACCTATCCGGAATTAGGCTCTTAGCTGAGCCAGATGCCCACAGGCCTACAGGGCTTATCTTTAGACTGGACCCAGAGCTTTTTCAATCAGCCATTCGGCGAAATACCTCTCAAACCCACTGCCAAGTCTAGTATCGGGCAACCGTCGAAAGTGGGTTCAATCCAACTTTCGAAGAGTCCAAAGGTATTGAGAATTCGGAGTTGGGGTTTGGGCAAAGATCCTTGGCTCTCACTTATTTACTCACTGTTTAAACTGGCTGTTTCATGATTATTCACTGCCTCTGCGGAATAATCTCAGTCCTAACTCTGAGTATTAATGTACTTAGGTCTACGGCGCACATCCCGGAGAAAGCCCGGCTCTGAAGGCCAGGACGATCCGATCTGCGTGCCCGTCCGTCATGATATTCGGAATTTCCGGTCCATGTCCCGTCTCCAGTCTTCTTCAATCTCTTTTCTTTTCTTCCTTCTGTCTGAAATTTGACCAATCGTCATTGATTGATCTGACAGCATTATCTTAATAGCCTCAAACCACCAATCCTGGTTGCTGTGCACCGAGCCGCCATGATCATGATCGTCGTTCTCGGTGACGAATTCCGGGCGTGAGAGGCTCAAGGCTTCAGACTCCGAAGCCTCGACCGAACTCAAATGGGAGATGGAAACTCAGAAACAGACCAGAAGAAAACTAGCAGAACATCAAACGATCTGCCCAATCTGGATAAAGCACCGCTGCAACCAGCATTATTGGTGCGGTTAAGTCCACCAGATCCAGTTTTGCCGAACATATACCGAAATTTTCTAAGGACAGATGATCTTTTCTTCAAATGTGCACAATTGCACCCACAAAAGAACCATATATTCAAGCGAGTTCTGTTGATTTCGGCTTGAATATTATGGACATTCCATTATTATTGTCCGAATCCTAAGCTGAAAAGAGCGACATATTTCGCCAAGGATTATCTAACACAACGTCTCAATGCCACTGTATTTTCAATTAACACTTACGGAGTAGATCATGGACTGACTCCATTTGACTACTGCATCTGCCGCGCATATACTCGTGGTTAGCGGCAGCTGGTCTTCTCCATCTAGACTAGCAATCAATCTTAAAGGAGAATCATCTTGTCAATCTATTCTCCTCGAGCATGCCTTAATAAGGAGAGGAAATAACACCAGCGATTCGGAAGAATCGCAGCAAGCCTCATTCTGCTTCTTCTCCGAAGGGATCGACTAGCGCGCCAACGGTCTGAGACAGGAGTTTAACCATCTTTAGGGCAAGGTAATATGAACAGATACTGGCTAACTGGCAATAACAGGAGGTATTGTGCACCCGTCACTACGAATACCAGAGATAGTTGGTTTGGAATACTACGCGCATTCCGATCCTCGGCCGTAGGAATTTCAGCAGTGTCTACGGAGTAGAGTATCAAAGTACGCAAATCGCATATGCAGCCAGAAAACTTTCTTATCAAATAGATACCTCGACATAAATGGCGCAATCAATCTTTAATATATTATTAATATATACCTCAAGGTCAAGACACTTAGCCACCTGTTCAGTTCCTATAGATAGCCTAGAGCAATCTATATTTTAAAAGTTAAACCTTTGCCGAAAATGAGTCTAGTACTGTCCAGGCTTAATGTCAATATCGACTGGAACTAGATCATCAACTAACCAAGCGAGGTTACAGGTGTTGTTGTTATTCTTTTTGCCTCGCACTTTGCAGCAATTTACCAGAGTACGACCTCGGACTAGGCATAGTAATTTCACCGAATACTCGTATGAAGCGAGGCATCTTCCGCTGCCGCTGCGGAGCAATTACGGATATTTAAGGGAATAGTTTGAGCCTCGGATGCAGAATAATAACATTATCTGTTTGGGTAAAGAACAAGGGCAGATCTGATTACCTAGGTAGATGAGCCCTTACACGTGTGCTCGAGT